ATGAAGCTACACGCCTCAGGCGTCTGCTGCAGCGACCGAACTTCGACCAAGTGTGTGCGTGTGTACAGAAATTACTGAATGCCGGAACGAGCGTGAATGGGCTGTCTCTCAGCAACTTCGTTCCTTCACTGCCGTCTGCATACCAATGAGTCGTCTTCAAAGAAGGCCCCGAAACGGTTGACTGGAACACGCAGGGTTAAAGCGCACGAACGAGGGTGTTTTACAGTTCCTTTTAAATTAGGGCGGGGGAGGGGGGAGCGTGGGTGTATTTTTAGGGTGTCGCTTACTGTCGCCAGACAGGTTTACGGGTCCCCAGTCTGTTAGCGAGGGCAATGCCCTCCTCAGTCCATTTTCGGTGCTGAGACTTGGTTTGGCCAAAGCAATCAAACACTCTGGGAGCGTACAGACGAACCCATTTTCCAACCCCGGGTGGCCAAGCAGTCAGCACGCCAACTTCCAACATCGGTGATGAAATTTCAGCATTTAATGATTTGCACGCCGGCCATCAGGTAATTAGCGCATCAGAGTGTAATCACCCTCGATGAAGGGGAGCCATTATTTGTCATAGGTAGGCAGTAGCTTAGTGATTGTATCCTGTAAATACTGCAACTCCCTGTATACGAATTACTTTTCTCCGAAGTTGTCTCGGAAGATGGTTTCAAGCCAGAATCCAAAACATCAGGCCAATAAACTTCTTATTCCAGCAATCGCGTAAAATTTTTGTTGCTGGGCGATTAGTAGCAACTGATAGACGATAAACCATTTCCCTTATTAGTTAACTCGATTTACTCTACCGCCGCCATTTCCCAGTGAAAATGTAGATGTTGTAGACGTCCAACCCATCTAAAGACGTTACATTGGGTTTTACTGTATTTTTATAGTCATCTAAGTGGCGATTAAAGGCCGCCGTAACATTTAAGTCTGCCTAGTAGTCCTTCTGGTGGATTCTAGATTATTGCTTAGGAAATCCTGCTTGGGCAGTCAGCTTGCTGTTCCGTAACGGTGGATTCCATACGAGCGGTAAATAA